AAGATGTTTTCTTTAGCTATCTCTACCATAAAAAATCATGTTTTTATTGCTAATAATCTAAAAAATGAATCGATATTGTAGCATTTACAATATGGATACTTGAATGTCAATGGGTTGAAATTGTTGAGTAAAAAATAAATGTTTATTGGGCTACCTAAAATTGATTCTATAAAAGTATGTGAATGGTGTATTTATCGGAAACAAAGTAGAAAATCATTTCCTTTTGGAAAATTCTTGAGAGTTAAGTATTGTCTTGATTTAGTGCATACATATATGTATGAGCATATGAACACAGAATCTCTTGGTGGTAGTAAATATTTGTTTTGCTACTTACGGATGATTTTAGCCGCATGAGTCACGTATACTTCTTAAAGTTCAAATCAGAAACTTTTAAAAACTTTTAAAAGTTCAAAGCACTTATTGATAAATAAAGTGGTAGATGTGTAAACGCTCTTCACATGAATAGTGGTGGTGAATTTTTATCTAATGAATTCAATTTTTTTGTAAAGAAAATGGCATTCACAAGGAGTTAACAGAAGCATATACACCAAAGCAAAATGATGTGGCTGAATGGAAAGGAAAGGAATTGTCAAATAAATCTGGATAGAAATAGTTATAATAATAGTCTATTTGCTCAAGATTTCACCCATAAAAACTATCCAAAATCAGACCCCTTATGAAGCTTAGAGAGGTACAAGGCCTCGTGTGAGCCACTAAATAGTTTTCAATTGTATTTTCTATGCTTCAATTGATTCAAAAAAATTGGTAAAAATTGGATGGCAAGTCTAGAAAATTATATTTTTATTGTTATTCATTACAATCCAAAGCATATAAGTTTTATAACTCTATAAGTGGCAAAGTGATCATAAGAAAAAATGTGACATTTGATGAAAAATTCAAGCTGGAATTAGGTAAAATAAAGCAAATTCAATAGCTATATTATTATCTAAAAGTGAAGATTATTCAAGCACATAAGTGAATACAACTCTTACAACTACAACTCCATCAACGCCATAAACGTGCAGCTCTACATCTTCATCTCTAAATAGAAGAGAAGTATTATTTTTAAGTACTTTTTTTTTATGAGACTCCACCAAGGAAGTTCATATCTCTTAAGGAGATATGTGACTCTATATATGTCTTATTTACGGTTAAGCCAACTAGTTTTAAAGAAGCAATCAAAGAGAATGAGTGGTACCAAACAATGAAGGATAAGCTTGTAGCAATAGAAAAAAAAAATAAAACTAAAGAGTTAATTGATTTATCAAATGGAAAACATGCAATTGGTCTTAAATCTGTGTTTAAGACAAAATATCATGCTAATAGGGGCATTCAAACGCATAGGATGAGATTTGTGGGAAAAAGGTATTCGCATGAGTAAGGGGTAAACTTTAAAAATATATTTTATCTGGTCACTCGATTTAAAACTGTAAAAAAATTTTTAGTCTTACCTGCTCAATTTAAGTGGTCAGTTTATTAATTTGATGTTAAATCTACCTTTTTAAATGGTGAATTGGAAAAAGAAGTTTATGTTACACAGCTTGAAGGTTTTGTGATTAATGGCAATGAGAAAAATGTGAGCAAGCTGAAAAATGTTCTCTATAGGCCAAAACAGGCCCTTCGAGTTTGGTAATACCAAAATCAACTCTCAATAATTATTCAAGACTCCTTGAAATACATTGTAATAACTCCAATTGTAAGATTTTATTGTAGGCTGGTGTTTTTATTGTTAGGAATTGTGTATTGAGGTATGTGGTTTTGTATCTTTTGGGCAATGTTAAGTTAGAACTTTGTAATCCTACTTCATAGGAATGTCTTAGAGTCAATGTTATTAGCATTCTAATTAAATTATGTTTTGGAAAGAAATAGAAATGTGTGTGTGTGTTAACTTACTCTTTTCTTTTTAACCTTGAAGCGAACACCAACTTATCCATCAAATAATTTATTGCGAAAAGAATTAACAGACATACACTACTATATTATCTCATTGTAAGTAAGAGTTCAACAAAAAAAATCTACTTTTAAAATTTCTTAATTAACTCCGAGTTTTTATTAATTTTTGTCTTACCATATATATCTCTATTTTTTTTCAATATCACATCAAGATTTCTCATAATTTTAATTGTATTTAAAATTAGGAGAGAAAATTTTATTTTATTTTTTTAAAAAAAAAAAAAGAAAAAAGAAAAGGTGAAGGAGACATTGATGAATTTAGATTCAATCCCAGTAAAATATTAAGCATCGTATTAATCATTTGAGGGTTCATTAAATTAACGGCCCACTTCAATTATTTAACTAATCCACGTCTAAATCCCTTATCTATTACAAAAACCTTTTTAAGACAAACATAATTGTAATAAAATTAATTACCCTGAGATTATAATTCTATGATTCGTAATACCCATGTTAAACTTTTTACCCATTTTGACAAATCCATCACCACCCATATATATATATATATATATATATACACACACGATAGTTCTTTCTACTCAATTTAGATAGCATATGTGTATTAGTTTCTAAAATCGAAATTCAAATGCCATTAACTCCAAAAGAAAAAATAAAAGAAAATTACAATCCTAACCTACTTTGGTGGTTAGCACTCAATCAAATCATGGAAACCGCAAAAATGCAAAACGCCATTTTGACGGGGGGCCCTCATCGCTCCTACAGTTTATCTATCATATTTGCATGGCATAAAATATATATATATTTTTCTTCTGAAAGCTATATATATATATATATATATATTATATTACTTTTTTCCCTTGAAAGAGAAATAGCCGCACTTTTTAGATTTTAGTTATATCCAAATTTCTTTTTTCCTTTTGGAAATAAAATAAATATCGAAAGATTAGCAAGCAGCCACATCATTAGAAAAACCTAGCAGAAGAAAAGATCTAATCTACGCAACGCAAACCCGTTGAAGAACACAGTGATTAAAGATCAAGCGGGGGGGTTGGGGGGGGGGGTAAAATTACCAAAATACCCATCTATATTCAAAACATTGACCAACACTCAATACAATCCTTTGGAGTTTGGTCCTCTTCCCCCTACACCTCACTACTCACTGTCATTGTTTGAGGGCAATGCTAACCTTACCCCCCAACACAAACATCTTATAAAACAGAATTATTTATAAAAACAAAAAAAGAAATTCAAAGTTTAAAATATATATAATGGTGCATTATTTATATATATATATATATAAAAGAGCTACCATTTTCAGGGGGTTTCATCTTCGTCTTCTTCATTTCCTAATTTTCACATAAGAGATTTCAATGATCTGGCTTTGACGGGTTTCCTCGTTCTCTTCTTGACAGTACCGCCATTGACGTCGTCGTCGTCTTCGTCCTCATCGACGTCCACATAATCAAATCCTCGTTTGCTGCCGAATTGCGAGGAGGAGGAGCTTGTTCGATTGGTTCGGGAACTGTTATTGCTGTTGCTCTTACTAGTGGTGATGGCGGCTGGAGCTTCAGGAAAAGCAGGAGGAAGAGGAGGAAGACCATTCTTGAGGTGGGTCTTGGAGGGTTCAGCTGCTCTTTCACCTCGGCGCTTACTCCACGCTGGCCCAAACCCAGAATAATAATAAAATTCGTAGGGACTGGACGAAGAGGTGGAGCGCTTGTTGGTTGTTCGAGCTCCGCCGCGACGAGTCGGCTGCTTGTCCGCTTGGTTGACTGATGGATCGGCAATACTGCCGCAAGATTTGAGTAATGAAACGTCGCCGGTTTTTGTCTTGCATTGCGAGCTTCTCTTGTCTTTGCGCTTAGACCCCAATTCAGTGTCGATCAATATCGGGCTTTCCTTATTGCCCTCCAATTTCCCACGCACGTCCACCTCCTCCTTCTCGTCGATATTCATGAAATCAGGCTTCTCCATCGACGCCACGCTACTGTAAAATTTTACAGCGTAACCAAACTCACGCAGACGAAAAAAAAAACAACAAAATAAAACAGAAACGCGAACTGGGTGTGAATGGATTTGTATTTCAGCACAAATTTTTGGGATTAATTAGTTTTGTGTCGTGAAACTGATGACGAAGATTATGAAGAAAACAGAAACGAAATTAAACCCTAAAACTCGAAATGAGAAAAATAGAGGGAGGAATAGGATATGCAGATTCGATTTGAAGAAGGATAGTGGGTTAACGTTACCTCTGGACAGCACCGATAGAATCGCCTAAGCTTCCATTTGCCGTTAAGCTATCTTCTCCATCAGACTGTTCAAAGAAAAAACAACAAATAACATGTGTGTATCCACGACTATATTAAAACAATACTGCATAAGAATAAAAACCCCACCGGAGAAGGAGACGATAGAGTAAAATGACAACGACCCAGTAACCTAATCGGCTATTAGGAGGTGGATACGCGACTGGGACGAGAATAATTTTAGGGTTTTTGAAGAAACCCTAATGGGGGGAGATAGAGCAGGAAAAACCCTAGAACCAGCAGCATGAAATGCAGATAAAATGGAGGGGATTGAATGTGGGGATCCCCGTAATAGATCTAAGAGATCAATAAGATGATAGACAGAGAGAGATAACTTACCTTGGGACGAGACGAAGATGGGCGTGGCTTCTCCGGAAAGAAATTCATCACATCCCATCGCGACTGGTTCAGCCTGCACACATGCGTCGGCAGTTTCTCCCCGGCTGGAGCGTTGGGGAAGAGCAGCTCTGTGAGCTTGGCGTTCTTGCGAATCCTCATATTCTCTCAACAACCAGATAACTTATACAGAGAGAGATACAGCAGCTACATATATATATATAGAGTGAGAAAGATGATATAAAAGGCAATTATATATATATGGTATAATATATATGCACATATATCTGTGTGGTGTATATATAGATCCTTATTTCTTAAAAGGGTGTTTATTTATACACTCTTCGCAAACACAGATGGCTGGCTCTTGTCCCTCTCTCTATCGGTTTTTTTTTTTTTTTTTTTCTGCAGATCTCACGGAAGTCCATAATCTGGGTTTTTTTTTTTTTTTTTTTTAATTTATTAACTCTCTGTTGTTTTCTCGGCTCTTCATACGTTTCGATTTTGTTTTAAATGGACGGTTTTGCCCTCGCTTATTTTCTTTATTTGCGGAAAATGGCTTTGGGAGAAAAGAAAGCTGCCGCTATTACACGTCATGATAGTTGTCCAAAGTTACATTTCTTTTTTAAATAATACCAGTAGCGATGGAATAATCCCCTGCGGCCGTCCACACGGTAGGATACGGTGTGAGTGCGTATTTGCAAATCTTTCCAGTGCGATATTTCCTGATTACTCTCACGTGCCTGAGAGCACGAGGGGGCGGCCTCACGTGATCATTCCTCCCCGATGAGGTTCTAGGGGTATTTTAGTCATTACAAAAGGGGCCCTTTTAACTTTGGATTTCTGATTAAATACGTGAAACCTAACATCTATGATTCCTAGAACAGAGGGAAACTGCGGAGCGTGGTTATCACGCGCATGAATGCCACGCTTTAGGTCTGAACCTGAGACTGGGATAGAGAGCGAAGTGGCCAACAGGATTGGCCCACGTTAAAAAAAATGGATTTGATAAGTGTACTGGTCGTGGGTCCCACAAGTATTTTCTACCGTATCAACGGCTATGATGGGAAGCAGAGGCGATGGTGATTGAAAGTTCAGGATCTGATAACCACTGATTCCGTTGAGTCTTCTCTTTTTAAAATATTATATAAAATTATTTTTTTTTAACGAAAATATTATAAAAATTAATTAACTAAATACATCTGCCATTAACCCATTAAGGTCAAACAATTAATTAAAATAAAATAAATAATAAAATACAAAATAAAAATAGGGAAGTAACTACTTGTATATATGGGAGGAAAAAACAGGACCTACAACCATGAGGAATGAAAATTCTGAGTCTGGGGTAAGGCTCTGTTTGGCAATTCCAAACCAAGACAAGACTGCATTTAATAATACAGGACCATTGTGAAATCTATCAAATATAACATATATATATATATATATATATATATATACCCAGATAATATACAGCATAATCAAGTAGGTAGCTGGAAATATTATATACTAATTATTTATTAATCAAAACCTATCAAATAGTAAATGTAAAAGTGAAATCTAATAAATCACTCGTATTTGTAAGCAAATGCACTCTAGTTTTTTCTTTTCCTTTTTTAACAACAGTAAAAAAATAATGATGAATTATGCAGCAGGGTTGACCGTTGACCGCCCACTATCTGTTAATTATATATACATATAGTTTGGAATATTTCCAGCTTGTTTATGCGATGAGGATTGAGCAAATGTGAAACATGGGCAATTTTTGATCAAAAGGGTTGTAGGCATTTTATGAGGATTACTTTTCGCCCTTTAATTGATAAAGGCAGAACTATACGTATATATATATAGGTTTTTTTTCTTTTCTTATGTCCTATCAATCATCTAGAGAACCTAACATGATTATAAGATTTTATATATAGTTTATCTGCTCTTTATATGTGTGTTTGTGATGTAACATAAAGCAGAGGTATGCATATAGCCCCTGAAAGTTCACATATGTATCTATCTATATGTACGCACGAATTCTACTTATGTATGTATCATAAAAGCTCTCTTGGTTCCCTAAAGAAAACAGTATCATTTCTTTTACAGAAAACCCAGTATCTCAAGTAGATATGTATACACACACACACACACACACATGTATCCTACCGGGAAAGAAGAATAAGAAAAGCAGTTAATATATATACACTGTAATCATATTATGCATATAATACAGTTGATGTCTTCTGCAACTGTGAAAATTTATCTGTCAAATATAGTACTACATATATAAGTGTGTGTGTGTGTGTATAGATATATATCTATATATATACGTGGCCTTAATTCCATGAACCAATCTTCTTTTACACCAAATGCATATTCCCGTTAGACTTCGATATTAATTGAGGTTAGCTAAATATGAGAGATCTTTTGGCGTGGTAAGAAAATTTTATTAATATCTTTACTTTATAAGTAGATTTATATGTATATGTGCTAATTGGTTTTCTTATATATGCATGCATCTCTGACACAGCTTCCTCGTCAATGCAGGGTAAAAGGCAGAAAATAGCTGTTAATATAGTTTTGTATATTCCTAATTCTTTATTATATACATACAGAAGATGACATTAAACACTAGAATGAACCCTCTTAATTGATTGAGGAGATGTGCTATATGAGCTTATATATATATATATACTGGCGGCGTACAGAATGACCAGCTAGTTTGAATTGCAGAATCTGCACTATTTAACTCATACTAACTATATATTACGTACTTAGCAGAATAATATATATGCAGAAAAATGCATGCAGTACTGATAATATATAAAGATTTGAAATTTACTAGCTATAAATCATAGATTAACTGAGTGGAAATTTAAAATTCATTGTATCATACGTACGTTATTGATGGCAATGAAGCTGAAGAGCTACTGGTTGAATTTTGATGCGATGATGTCGAAATTGAAGAGACTCTGTCAACAACCAGAGAACTTTTCTATGTATAACTCAATAATTTGCTAAAGAAATCATAGCTATGAAAATATATAACTCAGATGATATACAATACATAGATAAATGCGTATATACATATATAGATGCATGCATAGATACATACATATATATAGAGAGAGAGCTTGTTCTGAATCTGTCATTTCCAAATCTACTACCCTTTTCCAATGACAAACCCTAATTCTCTTTTGTATTATTCTTTTGGGAGTGAGACAATAACATAATTTTCTGGATCATTGATCTGTTTTACTGGGTGATCACCAGGTAAAAACCAATCAGTAAAATAGATCTGAGAGTACGAAACAGGGAAAATAAGAATATGTGTGCAAATCCTGATTTAGGGTTTATGATAGAACACACATATATATGTACATATATCTGAATATATATGCTAAAGAAATGTTATGGAAAGACAGAACAAGAGGAGATAGAGTTTAATCGAATGGAGAGCAACAGCTGAGAAAAAGAAAAGAAAAAACAGAGATATACTCATAGCTATCTATATATATATATATATACACATATGTATGTATTCATATATATGTATGTGTGAGAAGGGTATAGAGACAAAAAGACAAAACTTAGCTGCATTTCCAATCCAAAGAAAAGCACCAATTTACAAAGAGACTAATAAAGAACTGTATCTATATTGGTTTTCATAATATGGGTAGACAGGCCAAATAAGAAATTATGATTTTGGTTGGTAATTAACAATGAAGATATATATATATACATATATATATATATAGAGAGAGAGAGAGAGAGAGTTATAGCTGATTGATTTTTTTATATTTGTAATGTAACTAGAAGGGTAGAGAAAAGAAAGTTCTTGTTGCAGCAGCAGCCTTTTATAGACCCTTTCTAGATTTAGAATATGTGAAATGCTCTGAAAGTGTTTATTACCATTCAGAAGTGATAAAGATACAGACACACAGTACTAACACACACACACATATATATATATATAATGAAAAAGATATTTGGAAAAGAAGGTAAATGAGAGCATTTCCTTCTCCCAGCAAATAAAGTTTAGGAATATTATTGCACTACATGTCAATTCAAATCCACAGTTTCTTGTAAAAAGACTTATAATTTTTTACCATTTACCTATCAGTCTAATAAAAAAAGCATAGACAAGTTACAGAAGACTTTTCAATTCTAACTGGTTATTTTTAAATTTTATCTCAGTAATTGTTTTACCAAATTAATTCTTAATAATTTTTCTATTCTTTGATGATATTCCATACCTTTGAACTACATGGGTGCTTGTAGTAAAAAAATTCATGAAAAATATAATATAAACATTCCTTCTTTTAATATCTTCAGAAAAAAAAAAAAGTTAGAAATGTTCTACCATGGACTACAAATGCATGGAACTAGATCTGGGTTTAAATGAAATAAGAAGAAGAAGAAGATGAGCTATATATATACACGTACAATATATATATATATATATATATATGCGTGTGTGTTCTGATTTTTGCTCCAAAAAGTAGACAGACTGCTGATTAGTTTGAGACAGGTAAAAATGAATCCTTGTTCTTCCTTATACTTATTATTGGAAAGCCCACGTTGAAGTAGATTCAAGGCCCAAAAATGAATCATTCAATTTTTGTCATTTTATAAAGAACATGTTCTTACAATGTTCTAATTGTTTTATTACCTTCAAACATATAACTAAGAGTAAAATGAAATATTTAACTTGAGAACTATATATGATCAAAACTTGGGTTTTAATTGGATTTTTAAATCTTTTATTGAAATTTGAATTTTTAATTAGGTTTTTTATATCTCATTACAAAGGTTTTCTATTTTGATTAATAATTTCTCTTGAAAGACATTTTATTCAAGGTTACATTAAGAATATCCTATCCTCTCTCTCCCTTATCTAGTTTTTTTATAAACAATAGCTTAAACCCGAAAGTTGATTCGGTAAGTGAGCTTGGGTAATGGGTTCAAGATATTATAAATCCCTATTATAATATGATACTAGACATTATAGACCTTAGATTGTAATTCACTATTGTAATATGTGACACTGATCAGAACATCTAGATAATAAAATTTGTGATATCAAATTTTATACTTTAAAAATATATAGTTGTTCTCTCTCTAAAAATATTCAAGCTATCTATTGTTGATAACTTTAAATTTGTTATCTCAATCTTATACTAAAAAATAATAATACATGATTGTTTTCTCTCTATATAAGGATTCAAGCTATTTACTATCAGTAACTTTGAATTTGAGCTTTGAAGGTTTAATAATTTAATTATGAAAAGTTGTGTTGAGCTAATAACACTTGAGTTTGCTGGACTATCTATATAACTGCTTATTCTCTCATTAGATTGTGATCCTTATTCCCTCATTAATTTGAATATCTCTAGCAATTGTTTGTTGATATTTCTTCATTAATTGAATAATGTGCTACTCTTATAACTTTATAAAAATGTTAGTATTTATACTAAGGATTATCTCCTATAACTAAAAAAAGTAAATAATTAAAATTTGATTCACATTCACCAAGCATTGCGTTGGTTTCTTCTGTTTTTTTTAGATTACTTTTAAGTTTAGATTGCTTGTTGATCTATTAAATTCAGTATAAATACAAAATTAAGGTTTCTCTTCCTAATATATAAGTTTTTGGACAAAGTAATTCGTTGAGGTTTAACCTAATTTTTCAAATAAAATCTTAAATACATGCTTCTTCTTCACTAAATACCTTCAATTGTCAATTGGCTTCTAAAAATGTTCTTGTAAGAATGTTTAAGATTCTTATATATAAGTTTTTGGTTTCAATCTTGTAGTTTAATTTTAACATAATT